TTCATCTTATAATGCGCACTTGTATAACATGCATTGTATCAGGATTAGAATTATGTAGAATTATGGTTTTTAGTTTAGTGTTAGAACATAAGTTTATAATTATTTGTATCTCATTAACATTCGATAGGGGCCGGTGTGTTATGTTCTAAATTAGCTTTCAAACTTTAACTGTCATAAATATTTGGTGTGACTGGATGTAAGAGTGAATGTAACCTAATTCAGTATAGTTAGAACTTGTTAATCGGGACTGACTTATGGGATGGGAAAAGCGTGTATAGTGAAGTGAAAATGGCGTGGATGTTGCTGTCTCTGACTTGGCGGTCAGCATATCGGTTTTTACCATATTTGTCATAAACATATTATTGTATCATTGTGAATCGTGTAATATTGTTACTGTGAGCTTTGTACTTATATAGAGTGTCAATTGTTAGTTTGTGAGCCTTTCCATGTTAAACTGGATTCGTGAATATATAGTGAACGGGAATAATTGAGTGTGAAATTGGATTCTCATAAACCATAAGTATTTTCACTGACATTTCTTTATTTCATCATATTTTAATGTACTATTCTTATCTGACCAATATACAATTCATTTTCATAGAACATTCTTAATCATTTGGGTAAAAATGGATAATTTGCAAGACTCCCATCAAAGTTGTCTCCAATGGCGCCAATGTATGACCTTTGAACTTGAACATTCTCATGAAGCATAATACAATAGTTGAATATGAGGTGCGTAACAAACGGTGTGCAGTCTCCAAAACCGCCAGTGCAGAGCAGTAAACGCTGCAACCAACATCGCCTATATCTTAGGTTCATGTTGAATGGTTGCTGCAACTATTGTAGTCTAAGCTCAGGAAGGTGTGTAAAAATCGAAAAAAAAAAAAAAATAAAAAATAAGAATTGACATTTCGATAACATTTTTGCTATTGCAAAGTCCCACAATCAATCCCTATAAATGAAATTTATAAAATTTTTAGAATAGAATTATAGAGCTAAGGAGATTGAGTAACAGGTCATAAAGTCAAGTGTTGTTAATTTCACACCTTTTTAGGTCAGAGTGGATAACCCAAACCTCACTGTTTGAAATGGTCTATTAAAGATATTTTTCCAGTTGGAAATGTTTCCAAACATTGACAGTCTATATCCATTCATATTTTACGAAATATACATGCAGAGAATGTAAACTAGCCTGGAATCTGACAGATCTGTGTCAAACAGGTCTAGTTCATTTTTATACGTCCGTCCATCCGTCCACAATTGCTTGTAAACACTCTACAAGACACAATTCTTGACAGATTTTGACAAAACTGCGTATGAGTGTTCGTAATCACCCAAGGATGAATCCTATTGAAAATCAGGAGAATCGAAAAATATTTAGTATAAGTTACTGCCCTTGTTCTTGAAAACGCGTTCAATGTTTAGCTCGTAAACACTCTAGAAGGCACAATTCTTGATGGATTTTGACGAAACTTGGCATGAGTGTTTGTTATCAACCAAGGATAAACCCTATTGAAAATCAGAAAAATTGAAAAATATTTAGTATGAGTTATTGCCCTTGTTTTGAAAACGCATTCAATTTTTAGCTCGTAATCACTCTAGAAGACACAATTCTTGATGGATTTTGATGAAACTTGGTGTGAATGTTAGTAATCACCCATGAATGAACTCAATTGAAAATCAGAAGAATCGAAAAATATTTAGTATGAGTTATTGCCCTTGTTCTTGAAAACGCGTTCAATATTTAGCTTGTAAACACTCTAGGAGGGACAATTCTTGACGGATTTTGACGACACTTGGCATGAGTGTTTGTAATCACCCAAGGATAAACCCAATTGAAAATCAGAAAAATCGTTATTGCCCTTGCTCTTGAAACACGTTCAATTTTTAGCTCGTAATCACTCAAGAAGACACAATTCTTGATGGATTTTGATGAAACTTGGTGTTAAAGTGTATTGAGAAGAGTCTCAATGAAAGCACTGGCCTAGGTCACAGAGCAATAGATAAGTCTATTAATTATGTGAAAATTAGTTAGTCATTAGTATGATTTTAGTTGAAAAGACACACACACAAACATACACTGCATGTTACATAATATACTGTATATAGCCATGGCACCAGTCCTGAAATAAGTATTCCCTGAAATCTAACTTAGAAATCGATTAATTTATTGATAGAACATGATACATTTATATTAAGAAATCTATGCTCCTAGGATTCAAGTCTACCGAGAAAGAGGAAATTGCTAAGATTCTGATTTCTTTTGTAAGCTACAACCAAACGTTTTGTGTATACATGGAGAAATTTGTTCTGAAGTTCCGAGTAATGGCCTTTGACTATTACGGAGGCTTTGGTAGCTGTAGAATCAAATGTCGTTATAAAGGGTATTATCTGGTTTTCATTTGGCCTCACAGTCTGTAGTTGATTGATCCAATAACTTTCGCGTTGTAGACGTCTAAGCTTAGGTTTCATATTAGGTGATGTAGAAACTGTTTCTATAGGCATGATGAGAAGGTCATCAATGGAATGATCGGGAAGGTTGAAGTGATTCACAATTGGTCTCTCCTTGCCATGACTTGGTGTGAATGTTAGTTCCAGTTATATTATGTATCGTAACTGATATTGTAGATAGAAATAGACCTTCTTAGACTTAAACGTTTTGCAGTCTGCACTATTAGCAATTTGGGGCACTTGCCCACAGGGCCCACAGGGCAATTGCTTTGAATTTTTTACTTGTCCCCAGAAAAATCTAAGTACTGTATCAAAGTGATAAAAAAAAAATTTTGATATTGAATTTAATGGTAAATTTAAATCATACAAATAAATACGGTATTCATGCACCTGAAGTAGGCTACGGGCTTGCAGAAAAATGCTCCATGAGACATTTTAAATAGAAAACGAAGTTATAAAGTGAGACGCAGTTATCCAGTTGTATTGCACAATAAGCATAACTGTACTATATAACTTTGTTTCCCGATCACAATTCTATTTGTTTTCGATAAATTAAGAGAGAGGGGTTACTCAAAACAATTTTTGCAACAAATTAAAAACGACACTCTTTTGAATCTTCAAAGAAAAAGTGACCCCCCCTTCCCCTTTTAATGGCTTTAGTTCAAAAGCGTGTGGAGGTTCTGCGGGTCGTACCTGCGAACATATACTTGTTTCTCATTATTTTCAAAATAAGAGGACTGGAAAAACCTTCCTCATGAATGACTTCCTTTCTTGCATTGACTAAAATTTGATATACCTAATTTCTTGTAAAAAATGTAAAGTTCAATATTTTGGCGCAACACAGAATGCATTGTGAACTCGTTTTAATGGCCATCGCTACAATATCGTACATGGTAAAGATAGACCTATTGCAAACCACTTTAATCTTTAATCTTCCCAACCACTCCATTGAAGACTTGCTGATCATGCCTATTGAAAGCGTAGCACCTCCAAATATGAAACCTAAACATCGACGATAACAGCTCCAAAGTAATGGTATGGACCAACTTGGTACAGTATACCAAAAACAAAAACATATGCTCCTTTTGTACAATCTGATATAAATAAAACATTTATACACATGTTAGTCAATAATAAAAAATTCAGAAAAGAACTTCTAACTTATGGTAGCTAACAAATTAATCATTAATAAGAGCATAGAATCAGAACATCGCTCAGTTCAGTGTTTGAATAAGTGCTTTTGACAGTTCTAGCTCCGTCACACCGAAAAGGCATCCTTACTGAGCTGTTATGCCAAAGGAAAATTATCTTAGGCTGTACCCCAAGCCTGGTATTTTCGTGAAGGGAGTGTCAGATACCATACAGTTGGCGCCATTGTCGCCAATATTTGCCTTTGAGGTCGCCACAGAATCGAAGATGTCTTTAGACAAGCACCATAACAACATAAATGCAATAGGAATTGTATTAGAAACGCGCCTAGAGAACTCAATTTGTTGGGTCGCAGATTGACAGCGACTGGTGTAAAGTTTTTAATTTTACAGGACTTTTTCTAGTGTTTTCCGGCGACCATGCCGGTGTAACTCGGTTATTCTCATGGCCCTTCCCCGAATGCAAATTACTTTATTGCAGTGACCAGCAAATATGTCATGTCATATGTCATCAGCAGCAGCCCCTAATCGGTCTTGAACCATGGAGCTTAAATAAACTAAGTACTTATGAAACAGACCACAAAATGAAACCCAAAATCCAAAATGAACTTTTCACATGAGAAAGTACATCAATCATAAGGGAGGAAGTATTTCATAATGAAAAGTGGCATCAGGTGACTAAGAGTAAGCATATCCTGTCTGGTGCCACAACCGTCAAAGCTGCTTAGGAAGTATTCGAGATTGGACTTGTTTCAGGAAGAAATTCAAATTGAGAATTTTTATGCTCTAGCAATTGAGAATTTTTTAGGTGACATTTCTGGAGCATAATTATATACCAGTACTTGATTTATTTACCAGATACCCCATGATTTTAATTTCTTATTCACTTATGGTAGGCTTAAAAGCACCTGGATTGAAATCTACAAGGTGAGAAGTTCCGAAAGGTATTGTGCCATGCTCGAAGTTGTTCACTTTTCTAGTTATCCTTGCTTTGTTTAAATCTAGTTTTTATTACACGCCCACACATGAATGTGGGCCTATATAGCCGTCCTGTCTGTCTGCCTGTCCATCTGTCATTGTTGTCAATTGTTGTTGTTTGTTATCACCTAAAATTCAGACAAAACGAAATATATTTCATATGAGTTATTGCCCTTGTTCTTGAAACCTTGTTCAGAAGACAAATTCTTGACTGATTAAGATTTAACTTGGTGAAATTTATCACTTAAGGATGAACCCAATCAGAAAACAAGAGAAAAAGGCTGTGAATGATGCTCTTGCAGTATGAAAATATTACTCTAGAAATATTTCATTTACTGATAGCTCTTGTCAACCTCCCAGACGACTTGGCTGCCATTACAATTGTGGGCGTATTACGATGGCCATCGCTATTATTTTGTTTACATGACTTGGCCTGAATGCACCTGTATGTATTTCATTTCATTTCAATGTAATTTGTGAGTGGAAAAAGAGCACAATTAAGATTAATCATATAATCCTAGTTTTACGATGAAACCAGCTCTGTTCACAAGATTTTATTTATATTACAGGTCAATATACTATAAGAGGAGTTCCTGAAAGTTATGCAGTGTTAGGTGAAAATTATACATTACAATGTACTGTTACAGATTCACCTGGTCTTGTAGAGTTCCGTAGAAACAATATTGTTGTATGTAGTATATTCTCTGAATTCTGTGAGAGTCAACCAATAGATAATAGATATAAATGTGGATGTATAAATAATAACAACAAAACACTATATCTCAATATAAGTAATATAAATAAACAAGATGATACAACATGGTCTTGTAGAGGTGATATTGACATAAGTATATCAACTTCTGTACCAGTTTATTGTAAGTTTGATTTTATCTTCCAATTATTATTTTAATGAAATATATAAATATTTAATATAAAAATATGTTTTATCTACGGTGGCTCACATACGACATATTTCACTTTTGATTTTGAATTAAAAACATCAATTTTCACCTAGGTGATGATTATTTTCACCTAGGTGAAGTTAGGTGATAATTCCTGTAATTTTTAATTAAAAACTTTAATTTCCACCCAGGTGATAATTTTTTCACCCAGGTGAAAATTAGGTGATAATTCCTGTAATTTTGAATTAAAAAATTTAATTTCCACCTAGGTGATAATTCAACTAATCTTGTAAAAAAAGGTTTTTAATTCAAAATTCTTCAATTATCACCTTGGTGAAATTTATTTTCACATAGTTGAAAATTTAAGTTTTTAATTCAAAATTACAGGAATTATCACCTAGGTGAAAATTAAAGTTTTTAATTCAAAATAAAAAGTGGAAAATGTCGTATGTGAGCCGCCGTATTTATCTGACTATTGTTTGTTTTATTGAGACAAATAAGGATATCAATGAATTCTGCATTCAGTATATTCATTCATATTGTATGTGTAATCTATCCATGTTGTCGGGTTTCTACCGTTTTTTCATGTTGTCTACCGCTCTACTGATTTTTTGTTTTTTTCTTGACCAAATTTTCATGGGACTTACCGTCCAAAATCTCTACCATAAATCAACAAAATATCTATCATTACTTGAATCTTGATTGCCGGTAACACGCATTAATCTCATCATGAAATAATGTTATCATTGCCTGATTAATTAATCCCCCAAATTAAGATGGTAATTTGATCTATTTTCACCCTATAATGTGTATTTTAAGCCCACGTGACATACTTTTTATAACAACATCCGGTAGATTCTACTTTTGCTTTTACAACAAATTCCAATTGACACTTTGTCATTACTTCAGTGGCCGGCTAATTTTTGTGGCTGATGGATACACTGATTTTTTGGATTGATTGTAATTGTTGTAATTAAATCAAAAAACGAAAAATTTGTAATTCATTTCTTATTCAAATGAAACCTCTAAAAAGTCGTGTAATGAATAGAATCATTACATAGTTATCAACATTTCTTTCGCCAGTGATGGATAGCCAATATGGATAATGAAAAATGGCAAATTTTTTCCAATGTTCTGCTATGGCATTATGAATGACATTTTTGGTGCCAGTGAGGTCCTGAGATGCCAATTAACATATTTAGGTGTACAATGGGGAGAAATGCTCTTTATTCCTATAATTTCTCAAAGATGGCCAGTGACAAATATCCAATATGGTGGACTGGCCAGTCAAAGACGAAGCCCATACATGGCCAATTTTTGCACAGTCCACAGTAATGGGGTAGGGCAGATTTTTGGATGGAATTGGCACAAACTCAATCACATAGTGCCTTCAGACCTGTGAATATCTCTAAAATTCCAACATAATGGTATTTTCATGCCTAACTCTGTCACTGGCCAGTCAATGACGAAGCCCCTACATGGCCAATTTTTGATAAATGGCCAATTTTTTCCTATAGTCTGCTATGGAATTATGAATGACATTTTTGGTGCCAGTGAGGTCCTGAGATGCCAATCTAACATATTTAGGTGTACAATGGGGAGAAATGTGAAATTGTGGACTATTGGTCACAGCTTTGGTTAACAGAAACTCCTAGTTAGGAGCTACACATCAAATTGTCACACAACTTGTTGCACCTTACACAGGAAAAAGTCATGAAGTGTATATGGATAGCTATTATACAAGCCCATCATTGGCTAAAAAACTAACAGAAAAAGAAACTGGATTGTGTGGTACAGTAAATTATAATAGGAAGGGTATGCCACACGAATTAAGAGCAAATAATTTGAATCTTCAAAAAGTGATGACCCAGTTTTTATGAAGAGTGGAAAATTACTAGCATGTGCATGGAGAGATACGAAACGGCTTACCATGTTGACCACTATTCATAACAATGGCTGTATACCCAAACAAATCCGAAGCAAAAAATCAGAGACCGGTTTCAGAGATATAAAAAAACCAGTTTGTATGGATGTATATAATAGTTATATGGGAGGTGTGGATACATGTGATCAACGGATGAAAACCTATCTCCTTCCGCACCGTTCTAGAAAATGGTACAACCGTATTTTTAACGCTATTATGAGTATCAGTATGGTCAATTCACACATTATATACAGGTCAGTTAGACGAGGTAGTATGCCTTACAGGAGTTTGAAGTCGTATTTGTTGTTCACTATTGGATGGTTTTGCTAGGAAGGAAGTTGGACGCCCACATGAAATGGGGGGTGTATATTGCCGTCACCCTTGTCCGTCTGTCGGTCCGTCCACAATTGCTTGTTCTTGAAAACGCGTTCAATTTTTAGCTCGTAGACATTCTAGAAGGCACAATTCTTGGTGGATTTTGATGAAACTTGGTGTGAGTGTTCGTAATCACTCAAGGATGAACCCTATTGAAAATCAGAAGAATCAAAAAATATTTAGTATGAGTTATTGCCCTTGTTCTTGAAAACGCGTTCAATTTTTAGCTTGTAAACACTCTAGATGGCACAATTCTTGACGGTTTTGATGAAACTTGGTGTGAATGTTCGTAATCACCCAAAGATGAACCCTATTGAAAATCAGAAGAATTGAAAAATATTTAGCGTGAGTTTTTGCTCTTGTTCTTGAAAACGCTTTCAAATTTAGCTCTTAAACACTAAAAAGCATGATTCTTGCTGGATTTTGACAAAACTTGGTTATATTATTCAGTCCTGCGCTGAAGATTTTCCTTCTAGGGTTTTTACGAGCTAAAAATTGAACACGTTTTCAAGAACAAGGGCAATAACTCATACTCAATATTATAAAGAGTTCAAAAGAAGTGTATGACAGAAGGTTGGATATTTCGTACTGGTGATTGTTACAATACTGCTAAATATTTTTATTCAAAATCAAAGCTGCCAGTGGGCGTATATTAACGTGCCTGGCAAGCTATCTTAAATGATTGAATGTCTTGAATGTATCAGTTTTGTTTAATTCGCTTGGAGATGATTGTTATAGAACTTGTAATAATTTTTATACGCCCACATGAAATGGGGGGCGTTTATTATCGTCACCTCATTCCGCCGATCTGCCTGTCGGTCCGTCCGTCCGTCCGTCCACAATTGCACGTAAACACTCTACAAGGCACAATTCTTGACTGATTTCGATGAAACTTGGTATGGTTGTTTGTAATCATCCAAGGATGAACCCTATTGAAAATCAGACAAATCGAAAAATATTTACTATGAGTTATTGCCCTTGTTCTTGAAATGCTCGTAAACACTCTAAAAGGTGCAATTCATGACGGATTGATGAAAATTGGTATGAGTGTTCGTTATAGCCCAAAGATAACCCTTCCGAAAATCAGAAAAATTGAAAAATACTTAGTATGAGTTATTGCCCTTGTTCTTGAAAACGCGTTCAATTTTAGCTTGTAAACACTCTAGAAGGCACAATTCTTGATGGATTTTGACAAAACTTGGTGTGAGTGTTTGTAATTACCCAAGAATAAACCCTATTGAAAATCAGAAGAATCCAAAAATATTTACTATGAGTTATTGCCCTTGTTCTTGAAAACGCGTTCAATTTTTAGTTCATAATTACTCTAGAAGGCACAATTCTTGACAGATTTTGACGAAACTTGGCATGAGTGTTGGTTATCACCCAAGGATAAACCCTATTGAAAATCAGAAGAATTGAAAAATATTTAGTATGAGTCATTGCCCTTGTTCTTGAAAACGCGTTAAAATTTTAGCTTGTAAACTCTCTAGAAGGGACAATTCTTGACGGATTTTGACGAAACTTGGTATGAGTGTTTGTTATCACCCAAGGATGAACCCTATTGAAAATCAGAAGAATTGAAAAATATTTTGTATGAGATATTGCCCTTGTTCTTAAAACCGCTTTCAAATTTATCTCTTAAACACTAAAAGGCATGATTCTTTCTGGATTTTGACAAAACTTGGTTTTATTAATCAGTCCTGAAGGTTGAATATTTGCCTTGTAGAGTTTTCACGAGCTAAAAATTGAACACGTTTTCAAGAACTAGGGCAATAACTCATACTCAATATTATTCAGTGTTGTGCTAAAGAGTTCAAAAGAAGTGTATGACTGAAGGATGAATATTTCATACTGGTGATTGTTACTGTACTGCTAAATATTTATGTTCAAAATCAAAGCTGCTAGTGGGCGTATATTACCTTGCCTGGCAAGCTATCTTAAGATAATTATTTATAGGGATTGTAAAGAAATATTTTTATGTAGATCTGCACTGACACTAATATTATCAATTTGCACCATTCCAATTTTGAGTCGAGACATGTGTGGTTCCTGCAATTCCACTGAAACTAAACGTTTTATGATGTCACTAATCACCTTATGTGATAATTAGAGGATCTTATACGAGTGCTTATGTAATATGAGATTTATGAAATGAGTTGCCAGATTTAATATTACCTGAACCTTGGAGATGAAAATATGTAATTCGGCAATGAATTTCATTTTCATATTACATAAGTACGAGTGAAAGATTCTATTTATCACATACTGTAACTATCAATAAATACATTTTTATACGCCCACATGAATATGTGGTCGTATATTGTCGTCGCCCCTGTCCGTCGGTCCGTCCGTCAACATTTCTTGTGAGCACTATAGAGACTACAGTTTTTATCTGATTTTGATAAAACTTGGTGTGATGCTTTAGATTGATAAGATCTCGGTCAAGTTCGAATTTGACATATTTGACATAAACGCGTCAAAATTTGTTAAAAATAGTTCGTGAGCAGGATTGAAGCTACAGTTTTCAACCGATTCTGATGTAACTTGTTGTGATCAGTGGAATTGATAAGATCTCGGACAAGTTCTAACTTGATGCAATTTTGATGAACGGTTTTCGAGTTATTGCCCTTGACTTTGTAAAAACGTGTCAAAATGTGTTCGTGAATGAATACTACCTTCTTAAGATAGACATAAAATTTAAATGGCTGTATGCTGCACTCAAACTTTAGCCGTACTTTAATCGAGATTAAGTCAGGCTAAAGGTATGCTGCGCTCGATCTTTGATGTAAGTCATACTCATATTTCAACCAATATCACTAAATAATATATATTATCCACCTGGAGAAGAGATTTAAAGACCGCTCAAATCCCATTGAAGATCTAGACGAGAGTGAATTTATGAAACGCTTCGGAAGGGTTGTGTACATTTTTTAAATGATTAAATCAATTATCTGTGTGAACAAAGTGCATAACCCGCCCTTACCTCAATTATTGTTATGTCTGCGTTGTGGTATGCTAGTGGCTCTTTTTCCAATAACATGGGGGATATAATAGGTATCCACCAGATGAAAATGAAATAAAAACGAGGCTTTTACAATATTGAGCAGATTCCGGGAATAATTGGGACAATTGACTGTTATACACATGTTCCCATGCAACATCCGAAGGGTGATCAAGCTCAATTATTTCACCATCGAAAAGGATCGTATTCCATTAATGAGCATGCAATAGGAGATCATAATTTCATGATAAGGGACATAGTAAGATGGTTCGGCTCTACCCACGATACGAGGATCTTTGACAACATCGCCGTCTCCCTAAAGTTGTTCGCCGAACCAGATACATTGTGGGCGATGCTGGATATCCATGTCGGCCTTATCTTTATAACCCTACAATTCAAATTGTGCACATGCGCATTCATGAAATACTATTATAGAAAGGCTGTTATGTGTTCTTAAACGACGGTTCCTGTGTCTATTGATGTCATAATGAACTATCTAGATAAAACAATGGCCGTTTTTGTAGCAACATCAGTATCGCATAATGTCACCTGGCGTTTGAAATTGCATGATACCAATTAGAGATAGAAATGCCAGCAGATGACAACCAACAAAAAGAAAGCACTCATGACATTTAACAAGGAAATGCATAACTGTATCAATCAATTTTTTCCATTGATAACATTTATTTGAAGTGAAATTGTTAAGCATTCATTGTTTGTGTTATTGTTGGGTTTCCGTACATACACAGAGGCAAAGCTTAAAAAATTCTGACTAAGCCTAGATTCTGACTTAGCCTAGAGTCTAACTTAGCTTTAAGTTTGAGCGCAGAATACGACCCTCAGCGTTAAGCTTGAGCGCAACATAAGGCCCAAAGTCTCAAACTTGGTCAACAAGTGTATAGGCCGTATGCAGCGGTTGAACTTTGAATAAGGTTGAACTTTGACTAAAGTCGGACTTTATAAAGTAAAGATAAAGATAATCTTAACTTTATTTGGTATGGTCTTAGGTCGAACTTAGCAAAGTATTGGTTTTGTATCAAACATATGGTGAACTGGTGTTGCAATTAGTACTTTTTAGGTTAGAATCCAATCACACATGCATTTGCATAATCAAATGATGTAAAATTCAACAAGCAAGATTTCTCTTTATACTCTGTAGTAAAATATAAAAGTTTGTTGAACATAAGAAAAATGTCTTTGACCTCCTACATAAGAATGAAAAGACTTGGAAAGAAATGGAGAGGCATTACTGTATATTGCCGGAGAATACATCTTACATGATATTGGAAGTGAAAGTAGAATAAATTTTATAAATTTTTAATTTTTCATATAGCCCGAGGCAGAAGGGGGTGCATTGCCCAAAAATTAATGCCTAAATACGCCGTTGTTAATACTTTATCATTTACATTAGGGTGATCTTGAACATTTCTGTGAATAACTGCTTGTTTGTCTATAAAACTGTTATTTATCTAAATACATGTATTTCTTAAATTCGTGTATAAAACCAGTAAAGTTTATAGTGATAACGTCACCTACTGAGGTAACTTTACCACAGCTTTCATTTCATATGTTTGAAAGTAAATGTTAAGCATAACTTTTGTAAAATTTGACTCAAGACCAGCTTTAGTCAAAGTATAGGTTAAGTACGAGCACTGCATATGTATTGATCAGTTGGAATGACAAGGTGCACATATATTGCGTCAACATTTTAATGAAATTTGCTGTGATCATTTATATTGATGATATCTTGGACAAGTTCGTACTTGATGATTTTTCAATGAGAGGTTTTTGAGGTATCGCCTTTGACAAACGTGTCAAATTATGGCAGTGAGCACAATAGAGTCTAAAGTTTTCAACTGATTTTAATGAAATTTGCTGTGATCATTCATATTGATAAAATCTCGGTCAAATTCAAATTTGATGATTTTTCGATGAGAGGTTTTTGAGTTATAGACCTTGACTTAGATAAATTGCTTCAAAATTTGTTCAAGAGCACAACAGAGACTACAGATTTCATGTGATTTTTATGAAATGTGGTATGATCATTTATATTGATGAATGAAATGAATGGAGTTTTGCGTCTTTTATTTTTATTGATGAGATCTTAGTCAAGTTTGAATTTTCAACGATATTAGAGCTGTGTGATTTAATAATTTGTTGTATTTGGGTTATTGATATTGATTTTTAAAAATTTGCTCAGCATAAATAACTGGCAGTAAATATATATATCATTGAAATCAAACTAATAAAAATTTCTTTAATATGAGAAAATTTATACTTTAGTCACTGAAGACTGTTTTATCATTTCTGAAAGCTGCCAGTGGACATATGTTACCTTGCCTGCAAAGCTATCTTTTTAAAGGTACTATACCTTTGAAAACTCGTTTGACTTTTTCCCACACTGTTCTATGGTGGCATCAGGTCACAGTCAATTCTACCTCATTTGTCACTTTTTCACTGAGTTATTCCATCAATGATTTTGCCACTCACGTCAGTGATTCCTTTATAACATCAATCAGTAATATTAATGAATTATAATCACAAAACGAGATCACACGACTTCTTGATGTAGGCGTAGTTATATCATCTTTGATGAGATCAATGATATAAGTTATAAGATGTTTCGGCAATCTGTATTTTTCTACTACTTGTCTGTTTGAGTCTCAAATAATCTTGTATTCTTTTTTTTTATTTGCATCACCACAGATTGCCAATAAGGCTTCCATTGGTTTTGTCGGGTTACGTGCACTCTATTTTGACTTTCCATGTTTTCTTTCTTTTATAAGCCCATGCATGATGGATATTATTTTCACTCTACGTCAACATTACACCTGTCGTAAGGTTACAAATGAATTTTATCGTAAATGTTAGTTAATATTTTTTGTGGAACGACCAAACTAGGATTAAAACCTCTCATAAGATTTTTTGTGGAACGATACCCTGCACTAATTTGTTCAAACATATAAGCTTATTACTTAGATAAAGAGGTACAAGGAATTCATATAAGAAAGGCTAAGATAATATTGTATTAAATATTTAAAAATATTCTTTAAGGATCACAGATTTTATACTACGAAAAGAAACATTGTCAATATTATGGAATGTCTGATTTTTATATTGGCATCACCTACGTCTGTCAGTCATTTCCTATGAAATTTCTACCATGGAAAGTCTTACTTACTTTGATTTGTATAAATGTAACTTATTCAGGCTGATGTGTTAATATTTTGTTAACTATTTTCAGATGGTCCAGAGAATATAAGATTTAACCCTTCTAGTGATAATATAGATGTTATAGAAGGAAAGAGTCAGAATGTCAACTGTTTAGCTGATTGTAATCTAGATTGTAACATCACCTGGTCTAAAGATGGTTCAACAACAATTCTAAACAACCCTTTATCACTTAGTACTAGAGATCAAACTGGTTCTTATACCTGTACAGTTACACATACTGTATTAAATAAACAACTTACAAAACAACTTAATGTTCAGATTTATTGTAAGTATATAATACTATATTAATAAATACTAGACAACAAACTGGTTCTTATACCTGTACAGTTACACATACTGTATTAAATAAACAACTTACAAAACAACTTAATGTCCAGATTTATTGTAAGTATATAATACTTTATTAATAAATACTAGACAACAAACTGGTTCAAGTAACAATATAATAGATGGTAGTGATCAAACTATAACATGTTTAACTGATTGTTATTATTTCAGATGGTCCTGATGAACTTACTTTCTCACCAGATATAATAAGTATCAATATAATAGAAGGTAGAGATCAAACTATAACATGTTTAACTGATTGTTATTATTTCAGATGGTCCTGATAAACTTACTTTCTCATCAAATGTAACAAGTATCAATACAATAGAAGGTAGAGATCAAACTATAACATGCTTAACTGATTGTTATTATTTCAGATGGTCCTGATAGACTTACTTTCTCATCAGATGTAACAAGTATCAATATAATAGAAGGTGGAGATCAAACTATAACATGTTAACTGATTGTTATTATTTCAGATGGTCCTGATAAACTTACTTTCTCATCAGATGTAACAAGTATCAATATAATAGAAGGTAGAGATCAAACTATAAGATGTTTAACTGATTGTTATTATTTCAGATGGTCCTGATAAACTTACTTTCTCACCAGATGTAACAAGTATCAATATAATAGAAGGTGGAGATCAAACTATAACATGTTTAACTGATTGTTATTATTTCAGATGGTCCTGATAAACTTACTTTCTCACCAGATGTAACAAGTATCAATATAATAGAAGGTGGAGATCAAACTATAACATGTTTAACTGATTGTTATGAATGTAATTATAAATGGACTGGACCAGTTTCATCATCAACTAAAGATCTTGTATTGACTCAAATAAAAAGAAATCAGGAAGGAAACTATAGATGTGAAGCTACCAATATTAAAAATACCAACCCTAAAACAAGATCTAAATCTATACAAGTTAATGTACATTGTAAGTACAATAACAAACAATTCTCACTGTTAAAATAGTGATCAATATGTCAATATAGAGTGATATGGAAATATTATAACGGAACCTAAAGCATGTTGTTACTCAGAGTTTCACACAAACAACTCCAGAGGGACAACAACAAGTAACAACATGTCTTAGGTTTTATTTTAATATTTCTACATGGTAGTATATAAGTGCATTATATTATATGACAACATATATTCTCTTTATGTGAATGTATAATCATTTAATGAAGAATTAAAAACTATCAGAGTTATCTTCTTGTTTTCAATAATAAAAGTTACTAAAGCTACTCTGTAATAAATGCTCATGATCTAAAAGCAAAGGTCTTAATAAAAAACAGTATTGTTATAGCCTATACATATTGAGATGTTAACTCAGCACTTTTGAATAATCAAACTTAGCACCAGCCCTGTCGTTAGGTTACGTGGGGGCTTGGCGGCAGCAAGGGAGAATTAAGCCCCCAGCAAAAGCTTCTTCAGTTCAGCAGAGATTGATTCATTTACAGTAGTTATAGATTTAGATACGTTTTTGGAACCTTAAAATTGTCAGAAATGAGTTCTCTGGGCCTTTAATTCTTCAAATTTTCCGAGTACAAAATCTGAGCCCCAGCACCAATTCATTCCGGCGATGGGGCTGCTTAGCACACTAAAAAATCTTTGAAAAATTCTATGCTGACAGTTAGTAAAAAGTGTTTTTCCAATCATCACAAAAAACTATTTATCCGTGAATCAATGCAAACCCACAATTCAAAAGTTTGTTGAGTAAGTATAGCTGAACAGTTCGCACCCTGATATTGTGAGATCATATAAAAATCATCAGTCATATTATTTTTCAGATCCACCTAATATAACCAGTATAACATCTGATGCTGTAAATAACGAAGCTGATGAAGGTTTTGATGTCAAATTTAACTGTAGTGTTGATAGTAAACCAGTATCTACTATAACCTGGTCATCTTCTACTAGTACTGATACTAACACTGGTCAACAGTGGACATTAACTCAAGCTAAATGTCAGGATACAGGAATCTATACATGTACAGCTAATAATGGTATTGGTCAGACAACTACTAAATCTTTACCATTAAATATCAGATGTAAGTAGTATATATGATTGGTCATTGTATTTTAATATCAATCAGTCAACTACTTAAAGCTTTAAGTTTATACTTACTCAGTATACTATAATCTGTACAGCTAATAATTGTATTGGACAGTCAAGTATAGATCTTTGTAATTTAATTCATTCCACAAAATTTTGTTTTAGTTTCTTCTCGATTAAATGATAAAGAGGAATTCCTTTCAGGTTCACCAAGAATTAATGGTGATTTAAAAGATGAAGTAATGAATAGACTAGGTGAAGAAGTTACATTACTTATTGATGTTATAGCCTATCCTAAACCTAGTTTTAAATGGATACGAGAATCAACAGGACAAGAATTAACACCAGATACAACTCAACAAGTAGCTACCAATAATTATATTTCAAGTTTAACAGTCACAATACAACAATCTTCATTTGATAACTACATTGTAACTGTTAATAATAGTATAGGTGATGATAAAAGTTATACTATAAAGATTATTGATGGGGGTAAGTTTTATTTAGATTTCGGGGAAAGGAGTGGTTTTATTCTCCCAATGTACAGTCCTTAGATGGAAAAAGTGTAGTGAGTCCTAAACAGAAAAACACATGAAGAAAAGACACAGGCTGTTGAAAAGAAAAAAAAAACCTCCTCCCCTCCTACTTGCAAATATATACAACAAATATCTTCAAACACACACACATACATACTTTCATGCATAGATAAAAACATTTCTGTAAAAAATGT